AAAAAAGGAAGAAAGAAAGAAAGAAAGAAAGAAAGAAAGAAAGAAAGAAAGAAAGAAAGAAAGAAAGAAAGAAAGAAAGAAAGAAAGGCAGGCAAAACAAAAACTCTAGCTTCAGGGGATCTAATGCACTGTGGTCTCCAAGGGCACCTGCACAAATATAGTGCACAAAAATTCACAAAGGCACATGGCACACACGTACAAAAGAATAATTATTTTAGTGTATAAAAGCAAATTGCTCAAATATATGTATACAAAAACATCATTATCTTTATGCTAAAAAATAATTTTACACCCAAGAGTATTTGAATAACACAAATCAGGCTCATTTGTTTGACTGATTTAGAAAAGAGAGAGAACATGAAGCGGAAGTGGAAAGAGTGGCTCTGGGAGGGGTTGGGGAGTTGGATGACTATGATCAAAATACATTGTAGGACATTTTCAAGGAATTAATAAAAAAATTTTAATTGGGGGCCAGGGAGATGTTTCAGCAGGTAAAAGTGTTTGCTGAGAAACACGATCTCTGGTACCCACATGAATGGAAAGAGAAAACTGAATCCCAAAAATTATCCTCTGACTTGCACACATATTATGGAAGGTACACTCCCACACACATGCATACACAATACATTTTTGAATTGAGGTATAAAATCTGAACATATCAGGAATCTTCAGGTGTTTAGCTCTCTGAAGTTTCACTAGATCTACAATAAAGTTCCAAGAGTTGAACTCAGTTCTAAATGTGCCTCAGATTGATTAACTACCCTTGGCAACACCACTCAACTGTCCTGACCCCCAGTGTTTTCACCTATGAAAATCAAGAGTATCTATTTCATACAGATATTTTAGAATTAAGTGATATTACATAGGAGAAAACATTTTGGAAATGATTTGCTAGAGCTGTAATAGCAAAATACCACCCACAAGGAGCCTTGAAACAACAGACATTTATTTATTTTTCCCCCCAGTCCAGAGGACAGAAGTCCGAGACACGGGTATTGACAGGACCTTCTGCCCCTGAAGGCTCATGGGATGATGTGTTCCTGGCCTTGGCCTGTGACCTTTGTTCTGCTTTGTCTTGTAGATCTTTGCCTCCATCTTCACATCTTCCTGTGTGTTTGTGTCCAAATTCCCCTCTTTTGTAACGACACTGGGACACTGGTCTTAAAGGATTAGGGGCCCACCGCCCTCCAGTCTGACCTCATCCTACTGACTTTATCTGCAAAGAGCTGATTTCCAAATAAAGTCCCATTCCCAGGTACTAGGAGCCAGGACTTCAGCATATGAAATACAACCCGTGATAAGCTCTCTCTGAGTGTTATACTAGAAAATCTGGGCCTCTCACTGCTATTGTTCCTATTTTCAGGTAACCTCCTTGCCCATGCCCCCCTTACCTTGTCACTGTTCACTCCCAGCTTCCTGCCTCTCGGTCCCAGTCTTTTTGCTTCTGACATTTTCTTTCCCAAAATGTACCCCAACAGTTCTGTCAGATTCCCTCAAGTTTCTCCACCTAGCCCCAATTTCCGTCTCCCACAGCTTCAGTGTTCTCAGCCTGGCAGCCTCCTTGCTAGTTTGCCTCAGTGGGACAGGAAGTATATTGCTGTCCCTGGGAAGGCCTGCGCACAGACATGTGTAGTCCTGTTGTCACTTTCTGGCTGTAAGTCTGTGTGTCAGCTTTGTCCCCATTCTTTTTTTCAGTTTGGTATTTCGAGACAGGGTTTCTCTGCGTAACCCTGGCTGTCCTGGAACTCCCTCTGTAGAGCAGGCTGGCCTCGAACTCACAAAGATCCACCTGCCACTGCCTCCCAAGTGCTGGGATTAAAGGTGTGCACCACCATGTGGTGTTGTTCCCTGTTCTTTAGTAAAACACAGTAAACCCAGAACACTGGACAGGACCAGCCTTGTCACGGTATCCTGCCCCCATAGTTCCTAGGGACTGCAGCTCTTAGTGTATGTTTGTGGCTCCGTCTGGTAGAATTCTGTGCAGCTGCCAAGGTGACCTATCCCTCACAGAAACATGCTTTCCCTCTTCCCTGACAACCATTCACTATGGTTTTCTGCAGCTAACTGGTCACGGAATCTGTGGCAGAGGTGTCCCAGGGACCCCCAATGTGATAACACGGCAGCTTTTCCTCCTCCTACGGTACCTGGGGGTTAGCCAGCTGAAGTAGGAAGGGGAGGCCTGTGGCCAGCAAAGCCTTGACAAGCACACACTTGCCTCTCTTTAAAACAGTCCCAGACACCTGAAGTGCCCTGGGGCCCTGAAGAGGTACCCGGCACCAGCCGAAGGGGGTGGAAGGTGAAAACATTGGGGAGGAGAAAGCTGGGGCGAGATGACTGAAGCGTGTCTGATAGATAGTATTGGCTATTTGGGGGGAAAGAAAATGGCAGACACAAAAGCTGAAATTGTACTGCTGCGACCAGGAAGGTGAGGGACAGTGGGAAAGGAGCCTGAAGGGAGCCTGTACCAGACGAACCAAAGAAGTTGGAGCCAAGTTGGAGCCACTGGGTTATCAGGCAGTGCCTTCAGGCTCTGGGGGCACACCAGAGAACAGGAGACAGGGATTTGAAGGCAACTATCAGGGCCTGGGGGGAAGGTGATAGGACACAGGGCTGGATGGGACGGGCAGGACAGAACTTGCAGGGTAGGAATCCTTGCCTGGAGGCAGAATGAGGCCACAAGAGTGGATAAGGCAACATGGTACCTATTGACTGCCTGGGCAGAGTTGGTCACCTAAGGCAAATGACAGCAGATAATGAAGCCAGCTGCCCTGGGACTGGGACTGTGCTGGGAGTGTCACTTATGGGCAGAGGTCTTCTCGGGGTAGATCCCAATTTTGGGCCTCTCCAAACCCTGGCAGCCTAGTTCAGGACTAATCCTAGGACACAGTGTGTAACTCTTTTTTTCCAGGAATGGTGGTGGGATGCAAAGCAACAGCTTGTGGTCTCAGATCCCAAGCCCGCCTGAAACCAGCTGCTCACTGCCCTATCCAGCTGCGCACAGTCTAAGTGGACTGGAGGGCAGGAGTCTCGGGCTTCCAACTCTCTTCATTCCTGGCTCCAGCCACCTGGATAGCACCTGGATAGAGCCTTTCCATGATCCAGGCTGGGACAAGGTACTAGAGACAGTGATGGCCTTTTCCCAGGGTTAGTGAGGCTGCAGTTTAAAAAAGAAGTGCACCTTTTCCTGGCAGAAAGACAGACTGCATGAGGATAGACAGCAGTGATAGGGATGGAATAAATGTTTTGAACACATTGTGGATGTGAATTAGAAGGTCCTAAAGAGGAATTACTAAGCTAACTAGTGGCCTCACAAAGCATGAGTCCACCTGGAGCCTCAGAATGTGACCTTATTTAGAATAAGGCAAAGGGACACTAAATATCCCAGTGTATTCTGGAAACTGCAAATAAAGAGCTGGAGCTGGAATGTGAGCAGGGAGGAAGTGGGAGAGGGGAGGCCAGAGGGGCACAACAGCCAGGTCACGTAGGACCTACAAACTGGACTTTGTTCTCAAAGCCACAAGGTACCATTAAGGGGCCCTAAAGGGAGGAGTAGCCTAGTGTCTGTCTTAGGACAATTCCTCTGGCTTTGGGATAGGAATGGGGGCTGGGAAGAAGCTGAAGACAGAACAGTGCAGGCCAGGAGAGGCAGGAGTTGTTGGAGCCAAAGGGATATGTGTCTAGACCTTTAAAGTCAGCAATTGCCATGGAAAAGGACAGCAAGCTAGAGGTGGGAAGGGATGACCGTGAACTCAATTTTGGATGAACATCTTGAAGTATCATGGGGCTTCCAGGTGGCAATAAACAGTTGACAGAGCTATGGACAAGATACACTTATGTCACAGTTGTGACCAAAGAAAGAAGCTGAGATCACCCAGT